TACTCCAGTGACTCCTAAGCTTGGTCTCTGCCCTTTAGTAGCCTGTGGTTCCCCTGGCCTCCCCTCTAACCCCCAGCCTCTACCACGTATTTCCCAGAAGTTTCCTATTTAGAATCCCAATCCCATGTCCCTTGCACATAACAGTGAAACCCAGGCATGTACTCCCTCATGTGTCTCTCAGTGAGCAGTGTGTTCCTAGCTCTGCTCTGAGAGAATGAGAGTCTAAGTCTTAGAGGATTATACACATTATGCTTCGTGTCCCCTGGAAATTTGAAACAGATCCAAGTCCAAACATATTCAGATCTCCTGTTAGAACAGAACTAGACCTTGAGACCTACACCCTACAAAGACTTTCTAGACTGCAAATGACATGAAGTACTTCAGATTTCCAAGGCTGTGCTGAGACCAGCTGAGTCGGGTGCAAAGTATCTTAGACCGTCAGAGCTGAAGGGTGCCTTCAAGATCATTTTTTAAAGACAGTTGAGCCCCAGAAAGTAATTGATTTGACTAAAGTTCTACAACTGATTAGAGACAGTGTCACCTGATCCTGTTTCTTCTATTCCATACTCTATGTCAGACTGTGGACTCAGTAGGTTATCCTGGGTCAAGGACAAGAAGAAAAAGATTTTTTTTAGAACCATTCGGAAATGTCCTTCACTTCCCAGAACTTCCTGTGCCCAGGTCAGCAAGACTCTCAGCCTTGAATGGGTCATTTGGCCAAGTGCCTGGAAGAACTGAAATTAAAAATGGTCTCCAAGAGAAAACTAGACTCAGATGAGAACAAATAAGGCTTGAAAAACCTTGAGTGGAAGATATGTGGGAAATGAGACGGGCAAAGTCTCATCCTGGAGGGACATGGGGGGAAGGAAAAGATCTGGAGTGGGGCAGGTGTATGGAGCTTAATTCTTGTGATTAGTATGACATTTTCAAGGATAAGGCGTGCGTGAGGTTAGGATTAGACTCAGAAGTGAAAAAGCAGCAAGACCTAGGGAAAGGGGACTGGACCCTCAGCCCAGGGAGGTTGGCACCTTTAGTATTCTATCTGTAGGAAAGGTTGGAAGGAAAAGGATATATACATCTGAGTAGGAGTGGACTTTTGCTCAAGGCTCCCAACAAGCTTGAATTCCCATCTGGGTTTGCATGGCCCAGAGCTCAATTCATATTATTCCTCTTTTTTCCTTCTCCATATTCAGTCTTCTGACAGTGTTAGACATAAAATGTTTCTTACTGCTAGTGCCCCCTGGTTGTCCTGGCCCTTGGACATGAGCTCGTTGCTCAGTCCATGATGGTTGACTGAATGAGTTAGTCAGTCTCCTGGTACAGTCAAGATTTCCCATTGGCACTAGACCCTTGGAAATCCCCTCATCTTAGATTATAAAATAGATATTGTCCTAGTGCCCCAGGACTTAGACTGTTTTGATCTCAGGAGATTCTCTTGCCAATTGCTCTTGAAATTTTGGCTATCTGCCAATACCACCACTGCATTCTCTCTAACCTTAGTCTCTATTGCAGCCTACTTGCCCAATGCCTCAGGCCTCCCCAGTGAACCCAGAAATTGTCCTCCCCAGTGAACCCAGAGCCACTGATTTATCTGAGATCTCCCAGACATTCATGTCAACCTCTAGGTCTTGGCTCCTAATTACAAGACTAAATGAAATGCAACCTACTGCAATTGTATTTCAAAGCCAACATTTTTGACTTGCCACACTTAAAATACAACAGATTTTTTAATTTTAGGGGCAGGCAAAGGAATGGGTGACAACTGAGCAGCGACAAGATGGCTCGGATGACTTTTTAGTTTGCCAGAAGCCCCCGAGAGAAGAGGGGAAAAAGAGAAAACCCACAGCAGTAGCCAGGACAACCTAGTGGGGTAGTGGGTTGGCTTTCTACCAGGGCCAGGGCCAACGGCCAGGGCCTAGAACTGATGCTAAGACCAGGGACAAAGCCGCAACCTTCCATGGACAGCAACTTTGAAATCGGGATCTTCTAGGACCATTTTCTTCAAATCTCCCTGTGTGCTAATCCCCACACCTCTAAGGGCATTTCCATCTCTGTTGATTCCAGCACTTATTTTCACCATCCTGTCTTTTCACCAACATTGTTCCCAGCCATCAGCATCATGTTCTGGGCCATGGGATCTCGGAGGCAGATCCTTCAGAGTCACATCGAAGATTTGGTGGCATCAATTTTCACAGTTTCTAATTACTGCCCTGCAAATTGTTCCCAGAATCAAGACCTAGATTTCTAACCATCTCCTGGACCCTTATTTCCATTGAGATGTGTTACTCTCATCTTAAACTCAGTACAGGCAGAGCTTAGACATATTGCGGATTCTGTTCCAGACCACTGCAATAAAACGAGTATTACAATAAAGCGAATCATAATCTTTTTGCTGGTGAAGGAAGTAAATTAGTAAAAATTTGTAAAATTTTCAATTTGTAAAAAAGGCAACATCTGTGAAGCTCAGTAAAGCAAAGCGCAATAAAATGAGGTATGCCAGTATGTCCAAACTAAGACCGCCTTTCTTTCCTCCAAACCTGCTCCTCTTCTCAACTTAGCCATCCTAGCTGAGAACCCCGATCTTCCCTGGTGTCTCCTTTCATCTGGTTCCTCATTACCCAGGCAGTCACCAAGCAGTCACAGCCTTCTCTTCCAAGTCTGCATCTTTGCAGTGTAGAATTTAGAAGGGACCTTAGACAACAGGCAGCAGATCCCCAGTGGAGTCATGGGATTTGCTCAAAGTGATAACACTTAGAGGAAGTGCCGGAACTGGCATCCTTGTGGCCTGCCACCCTGCCCATTGCTCTTGCCAACAGTGTCTTCTTTCTGCATGTGTACGGACCACCTACTCAAAACTTTGTAATCCAAGCTCTTAATCAGTCATCTGAGCCTCTCCCTAATTTTTCCACAATCGACTTATCTTTTTGTGCCACTTCTTCCTGACACAAATAAGAGCTAACATGTATTGAGCATTTACCACATGCCAGGTGCTATTCTAAGTGATTTTCGTGTATTAACCTAATTCTCACAAACCTAGGAAGGAGAGTACTATAAACAAAAATCTGGAGATGCCTTTTTAAAGAAATTTAAAGAAGAGTTTATTCAGGTAACTATTTGCAAACCAGGAAACATATAGTCCTTGATGTGAACCAAGAAAACATTCCAAAATGGAGGGAATAGGGCAGGATTTACAAAGGCCCAAGATGCAAGGAGCTGATGCTGATCAAAGAGATAGGTTGCAAGGGGAAACAAGATCATAAACTTACATCATTTGTTTTCTGATTGGTGGGGGCAAACTGGACTTTCTCTGGTTGGCTGACTCAGTGATCCAGCAAATGTGGTTGTGAAGTGAGAACAATGGGTAATACATGACTAAGCGTTTATCAAGTCCTTGTTTCAGCCCAGACCTGTAGAACAAAAAGGTTGTTTGGTCACACAGTTATAGTACAGGGAGCATTATTTACCAAAGATGCAAGGAGTATGATGTATTAAACAGTACAATCAACACGGGGCTGGGCAGGGGGCTGCTGGCTCTGCAGGGCATTCCAGAGCCCAAAATGGCAAAGTTATGCTCTGCAAGCAGCTTCAGAGCTCCAGCTGCAAAAATCCAAATTTTGGGCCACAAGTTATGATATTAAAGTTCTAATAAGTCCTCAGTATGATTATTCCCATGTTACAAAAGAGGAAACTGAGGCAAACCACTTCCCTCAATTTGAAATCTCTCCCCTCCCCATCTCTGTTCCTCACTTTCCTCCCCAGACTGTTCAGTTTCTATCTCTTCCAACAGCTCTCCTCTGGCCCCGCCAGCAGCCAGCTGTCTTTCCCCTCCTCTTACCCACAACACGCCTCATCCATTTGTCTGACCCCCTTAGCACTCTGTCTATCCTGCCTTGTGTTAGTTCTCATTTTTGGAGCCTGTGTCCCATTCCCAAAAGCTCCAGTTGCTCCTTACTGAGTCCTATATATACGCCTGTGCTCCCTGGACACCTCCACAGTGCTCGGCACACAGCACTCCCGTTTAGTACTTCCATTTCGTTCTCTTAAGTGTCCCACCACACTGGGAGTCCTGAACACAACGCTGAGGGCCCGGTGATGAAGAGGGGCCAGCTGACAGATTCAGACATCTCAGAAGGAGCTGTCCGTCAGGCTGACAGTCGAGTCTGAGTTCCTCACCTGCTACAGAGGCTCTGCGACTTGCCTCCAGGCCAGAGAATGACTTCCTTTGCTACATAGGTAGGGCCCAATTTACCTCCCTCTCTCTCCTCCCCGACTTACGGCCTGACCCTCACTACGATGAGCCTGGGACCCATATTCATTTGGGCTTTTAAGAATGAGTCTTTCTCCTCTTGCCCGTGTCTTCTCCATGCCTGACAGGAGGCTGCGTCCATTTCCAGATCCCTTTCGTCCTCTTCTGGCTTCTCTGAATTTCCTCCCTGCCTCAGTGGAGCCCTTCTCCTTCTTCTCCCTGGCCCAGTAGCCCTCTTTCCTCTCCTCCTCCTTTCTTCAGGTCACTGTCCTAGGTATTTAGATTCTCATCTCAGCCCTGCCGTTGACGTGCTGTGTTACTGTGGACAAGTTACTTTCCCGCTCTGGGCCTCACTTTTCACATCTATAAAAGGAGAGAGCTGGACTGGACGGTGAGTGATGGCCTGCTGAGCCCTCCAAGCCCAGGCTCCTTTTACAGTCCTCCCCGCCTCCTCTCCTCTCCTCTCTGGGCCCTTCTCTCAGGTCTTCTCTCCCAGGGGCGGCCTGCCCTCGCACCAGGAGAGCGTGGCCCCAGCTCCTGTTCCCTGCCTGAGCAGCCAGCCCTGGGCCTCCCCGCCAGCCCCGGCCCGTCTGAGAGGCTGGCCCCAAGCCTGGCGGCAACTCCACATTTCTCTGTTTTTCCTTTTTTTTTTCCCTCTTTTTCCCGGAGTTAACAAGAAGCAGATGTGGCGCACGATGGTTGGAGAGGTGGGGGGAGGAAGGGGGAGGCTGGACCGCCAGCCAGACAGGGGGAAGGGAGGGGAATGAGCAAGAGAGGGAGGCTGGAGGCCAGGGCCCGCCCCACGCAGCCACTCCAGCGCCTCTGAGCAGCCACAGGGGTAAAGTCCTGTCACCCCCAGGATCCGGTCACTGGGGAGAACGGATAAGGAGACCAGAGAAGGGCCAGCTGGGGCGAGGGGGCGGAGGCCCAGGAAGCAGCATCTGAGAGGGGCAGGGACCAGGCGCAGGAGGCCCGAGGGGCACAGAGAACAAACTCCTCTCAGAGGTGGAGAAGAGAAGAGCGGAAGGAACCGAGGGAGGGACAGACAGGAGCCTGAGGAGGAAAGAGGAGGGGAGGAGAGGGGTCAGGCCAGGAGGCCAAGGAGGAGGTGTGTGGCCCTGGGCTGCCATCAGGAAGCTGGGGACAGGACCCGACTCTCAGCTCAGCGGGCATCCTCGCTCCAGGCAGAGGCGCCAGTGGTCGGGTGGGATGTGCCTCTGAGGGCCACAGCCGAGCGCCCCCACCATGGCCCCCAGGACCCTCTGGAGCTGCTACCTCTGCTGTCTGCTGACCACAGCTGTGGGGGCAGCTAGCTACCCTCCTCGCGGTTACAGTCTCTACACGGGGAACAGCGGGGCCCTCAGCCCTGGGGGGCCCCAGCCCCAGAGTGCTCCCCGGCCTGCCAGCCGCCACAGGTAAGTGTCTGGGTCCCAGCCCAAGGCTGGGTATAGGTGGAAGGGTGGGTCAGAAAATGGGTATCCTGGTCCCTAGCTTGGCTGTCCTCTCCTGAGCTGTGTCCCCAGTGCGGGGAGGAGGGGGAGAGGAAGCCCATCCATCAGATGACGCCTCACACTCCCACTTTCCACGCCGGGTGTTTCCAGGGCCCCCTGAATAGATAGGTTCCTCTGTCTAATCTCAGGGGGATCAGCTCCTGTGTCCTTTCCGTAAGGCCTGCAGTTAGGAGCCCAGGGAAACTACCCTGAGGGGTGTGGGTCAGGCCTTCCTGCCAGCTGCGCACCAGCCTGGGATCCTCCAGCAGACCTATCCCTTTCTAGGGCTTCCTTGGCCCATCTCGTAATCCATGACTCTACTGCCACTCTGCTCTGCTCCCTTCAGCTCTCCAGCCCGACATAAAGCAGAGGCCAGCATGAATGGGGCCAAGAGTGTAGAACTGCAAACCCCACAGGGGACAGGGCTCATCAATGGCTTATTCTCTGCTTAACCCCCAGCTGGACCCCTGCCTGCCTGGTCCTCTCCCCTGAGGGGTGGGTGGAAGCCAGCATCCAGGGAGTCAGCAGAGGGCCCCAGCCAGCCTGCTCACACAGGCCATGCCAAGCTGGGGATTGAGACCGAAAGGGAAACGAATGAATGTGTGAATTCAGAGGCTCCCCGGGAGCCCCTCCCCAGCCATGAGGATCGACTTCTTGGAGTTGGTTTTCCATTCTGTGACTCCTCTCCTTCTTGAAAAGTCTTTATTGCCTCTGTCCACACAGGAAGGCGTAGGGGGAGCTGCCGCTGCCTATGCCCTGGCTCCCACTGGTCCCCAGGGGCGCTTGATCTTTTGACCCTCCCTCAGCCCCTCTGGTAGCCCCTGGCCCTCCTCTGGGGCATGTGTCTCTGGCCCTTGGGCCCAGCTGGGGTTGTGCCTGCAGGAACTGGTGTGCGTACGTGGTGACTCGGACAGTGAGCTGTGTCCTTGAGGATGGAGTGGAGACCTTCGTCAAGCCCGACTACCAGCCCTGTGGCTGGGGCCAGCCCCAGTGTTCCCGCAGCATCATGTGAGCCCCAGTGCTGGGGAATTGGTGGGGGCTGGGCTAGCAAAGCAGGTGGGTGGCTAACTCAGGGAATTTGTACAAAGCAGGTAGCAAGGGGCAGGACCAGGGCCTTCACTCAGAGCCATTTTGAGGAGATGCTGAGGCAGGTTTGGCTGGTGAGATATTGAGGGCACACTTACCTAGACCACCCTGCCAGCCCCAAAATGCCTTCTCCGGATTGGGTCATACTCAAGGAGAGGAATTCAAGGTTCCAGTACAAGACAAGGGGAGGAACAACAGGGATTTGGCCCTTGGCCAAGAAGCTGACAGCTGTCAACTGAGCAAGGCCGCATGCTGGATGGTAAGGGGGATCCAGCCTGAGGGACAGGTCTTGCCCACCAGCAGCTGCTCATCTCTGAGGACAGGGTCCAGGGTCACTGACAGTACAGGGAGGAGTAAAGAGCCCTCCCTCCACCTCTCCTAGGTACCGCAGCTTCCTCCGCCCTCACTACCGCGTGGCCTACAAAACGGTGACAGATATGGAGTGGAGGTGCTGTCAAGGGTATGGGGGTGAGGACTGTGCCGAGAGTCCCGGCCCAGCACTGGGTCCTGCACCTCCCACGCCACGCCCCCGGCTCCGGCCCGGTCGCCCCAACCTTTCTGGCTCTAGTGCGGGCAGCCACCTGAGTGGACTAGGGGGGGAAGGTGAGTATGGGAGCCCTGGGGGAAGAGAAGTGGGAGACGGTGCTGGGTGGAAAATGTGGGGCCAGGGTGCTGAGGGAAAACACCATGCTTCAAGTCAGAAAAAAAAGACAGGAGGGAGTTAATGAGATCCCTGAGTTTCCCTGTCTGCGGGCGGGCGTGTGTGTGTGTGTGTGTGTGTGTGTGTGTGTGTGTGTGTGTAACAGACAGAGATGGAGAGAAAAAGAAGGCAGAGAAAGTGAATGTGCTCACACACGCCCACATGTGGCCAAGATACTTCCTAACTGGGAATAGTTGCGGGGGGGAAAGGGGAATTCCTTTGAGAAGCTTGGTCCAAGGGGATAGGCAGTTGAGACTACAAATCCTAGCATGCACTGCAACTGACTACAGGTCCCAGGCCCCTCGGTGGCCTCTGGAGACTAGGTCCCAGAATGCTGCAATCCCTGTTGCCTTCCCATGTACGTGCCAGGCACTGCGGATGTGCTGTGTTTGCCTGCCAGGGAGATAGCCATGCTGTAATTATGGAAACAGGAACTTCTGGCC